AGTAGGCAAGTACCTCCTCATGTTGTATATACCCTCTTTAATGGAGCCTAAGACTTCAGTGCCTGTTTAAAACATAAACAGGCTATTCTTCCTGCACAGCTACAATCTGCTTTTTTAATGAAGAAACAGTATTTAATGGCTGCGCTGACCTTGTCTCTCCTTTTCCCATTATGCGCCTGTGTACTGCTAAGAACAGGAACATCCTGTTGTCAAGGTATAGATAATATACATAGCTGCTGTGGAAAAAAAATAAAATTCCCATTGAATGTTTTCTCAGACATCAGTCAGTGGATACTTAGGCAAATTAAGAGAGACATTTCTCTTCAATTTGGTTTCTTGTTAAAAACCTAATATGGCCAACCCACATGGTGTTCACTGGAAAATCTGAAAGATGCTCCTTTTTTACTCCCGATAGCTATTTAGTTCTTGGACAGTGAAGTCACTTTGATCGCAATAGTATCTGGGGGAGAGATCAACAGTTTTTTTAGAGGGTTGCTCTCTCTAGGAAGCCTCTGAATTGGAATCTGCTGAACAGGAGCCTCTGCTAGCCTCCTTCTCTTACACCTGGGGAAGATAATGCCAGCCCTCTTCATTTTCCAGATGCTCTTTCTTGAACACCACAGACACAGCACACACCGGGAGTGGGGAGGAGGTGCAAATGACCGGATATTTTACAGACTGGGCAAATATGAGACCGGCGAAAGGGTGCTTCCCCTAGAGGCGCACAGGCTGTTTTCCTAATCTGAAGCACTTGGAAGAAAACCAAAAAATTCAGTCAAATACCCAGATGCTTCCAAAGAGTGGATATTTGGCTCAGCAAATAGAGCACTGCCTGAATGTTCTGCTTGTCAATGAGTTGTGGCATCACATAGACAGCCGTAATAAATTAAAGGCTGGGCTAGGAATAGAACTAAGACTTCCTGATTCATAATCCAAGGCTCTGGCTCCTACGAGGTCTTTGATTCCATACGCATCTTACTGGCTATTCTGGTTGGTACTACTCCTTGCTCACCCGTGAAAGAAAGGGACCTTTTAGCAAAAGACTTGGCTCAGCTTCATTCTGAATTATTTGATCTGCAGCCAGCTGGACCAGTATGAAATCGCATATTAGTGTTATACATTTTATTTGACAATAAATTCCTCATTCTAGACTCTCCTTTCTTAAAATAATATCCTGCCTAAAGAACCAGAAAGTTACTAAATCTTTTTTTACTTCAGAAGGAGTGAAGATTTTCATCTGAATTGACACTCAGAAGATGGAAATAATTTACATATGTCAGAATTTCTAGGCAAGTTCAATCATCAGCCTTAATTTTCATTTTGGTGTATTTCATGCTAAAACGTATGCAGACTGGGAGGTAATAAAACAACAGAGCAACTATTTCTTATTTGCCAGATATAGTCTGTTCAACTACAAAACCCTGGCATATTATCTTTATTTAATAATATGGGTCAATATCATTTTAATATTAGGTGGAGAATCATAAATAATATCCTCATTTAAAGTTGCTACAAGGAATCTTCTAACTGATATGTATATGGTGGCTTTATATTAAGTACTTACGCTCGCTTCCTACTTATCTCCTTCCATTTATAAGGCACGGGGAGAAAACTGGTGCCTCCTCTGCTTGACTTTTAAATTCCAACTAGACTTCAGAGAGAGCAT